AAAGAAGGAAGAACAAGAAGACAGCAATTAACAACAGCCGAACACGAGCAGAGATGCGCAGGAATAGACCAATAATTATCATGTTAAGTCCAATGGTGTCCTTGGACTTTAAATGGACATTCCCTATTGGTCGATATCTGTTCACTTGTTGAATATTGTACAAAATGTTGTTTTCTATTTTATGGTACGATGTGGTATGCTTGTTTGGTATATAAACAAAGTATGTTTGAAATATAGTGATTCATATCTCCGAGGCTGTGACTTGTGTTCTGGACTCAACTGACTGGGCTAGACAGGGAAGCGAGACCAATCGAGACTCTAGGCCGTCCGTACATGTTTACGTGTCATTGAATCGATCGATAAGTACGCTGCTCTCTAATTTTCCAGTCAAGGACACAACAATTAGCACAGGGTAAAAATCGACCACAACTTAAAGTCATAACAGATGGGTGCATAATATTTGACAACGTTGATTGTGATCCCCTCTTTCTTGGTTGTGAAGGATAATTTGATGATCTTAAATTCATGAGATTCTCATTCTATCAGTGCGATATCTGCTTGTTTAGACAGCAGTATAGCAATTTACTGACTTCACGGAGAATTTTCTTCTCCATGATCAGAGTACAGCAGCATATTTTCCAAATTTATCTGTCCCTGTCCAGCTTAGTACAATGTGTTGCACCGATTTTCAGAGCTGCCAAGTTGGATCTCCTTAATTCTATAACCATTTGACTAGTCCTTCCGCTCTCCCACATTGTCCGGACATTTCATGTGTTATATCTAGAGCTCAGATCCTTAATGTACCGCGCATAACGTGAGCACTCGAACACTGGAAAACTCCCAAGTCACAAATAAGAAGACAGAAAACAAGTGAAAGGAACTCTATTCCAAACAGTATCAATTATGGTACAAACTGTCAGGTATGTTTAGTCTTTAGTAAAAAACGAAATCATCATTGTAGTCCTCCAACCCGCATACAGAAGGTTATTAGCATCTGCTCAATAGGGAAGCTCTACATAGGGGTTTTGGAATATTCTACCAAACGGTGATTGGATAGAATATCTTCGGCTCTTCTCAGGGTTTCCTCGGGTTCACTTGTGGACTGTCCTCACACCACGTACCCGTAAAAATTGTTTCGGTTTTTTAGGAGGGACGCGGACCTCGTAACTTCTGAAGAATATCGGCTCTCATCGCGAGGCATCATAATTCTTCCTACAACTCCCAGGGCAGAGTTTAAATTACTTAATTTGCTCATTTTGGCGAGCGTCCTGTAGCAAATTCGTTGTCTATGAGATGCGGTAGATGCTCCCATACCCGACCCTCCTCTTTTACCCGGGATCGGGACCGGCGGTAACCCTAGAAAAGGTACAGGAGGAATTAAAACTAATGAGGTCAGCATCAATGTAGAAAACTTACAGAACCACTTATTTTTTGATTTTCTTATCACTACGGCTCACTTTCCCTCCCACTATGTGGTAGCGTTTACCTTAAGATATGACTGGCGAGAAGTTCAAAACAAACGAGTTTGTCGTTGGTTAACAATATTCTAATGGCCTGTCGCCCAGCAGCATTTGATGTTATTTCCCTAATTTGATGGGCCAGTTGGACAATATAACAATAAAAACACTATGAGCTCTGTACTTCACAATATTCGTTGTTAGTTTTTCATTTCCGGAACTGAAAAAAGAGAATAAGTGTTTATTAGAATGCACCACTATTTGTATAATAAAAGAAAAACTTGCGATATAGAATGGATATATGTATCATCCCATTGTATTTGAGCGAAACCAAAATAATTGGGGTTACTTTCTAAATAAGCAACTCTCAGACTGTAAGTGTTCACTTTATCCTTAGTTCCGCTCTTTTCTTTTGTACTGTACTCGGGTTCATGATGTAGAAATTTATAGGGTTTTTATCATGTTGTACATTTGAAGTTAACTGAAAGATGGAGTCCAGTTGTCAGTATTACTTGAGGACAATACTTATTTGAAGACGAGCTAAGAGAATATGTTTATGGTCGGCAAACAGAGTGGATTCTCGGCTTCACACAAAGTGTTGAAAGAGCCATACACCACAATACATGGCTAGGAGTTTCCTGCCGAAAGTGCTACAACTCGTTTCAGCGTCCCACAATCTTTTCGAAGAGAATGTCATAGGTTGTCAAATGTTGTTTACCCGTTGTTGTAGCACTCCTCAAATCGTTGAGTCGGATGCGCCCACGGTGATGCCGATATACGCTTAGATATCCTGGTTTGAGAGTGTAGTTGCTTCACAATGATTTCCTCGACTGTGGAGGACACTTTATTGTGTTATTGTCCAGAGCAACGAGTTTCTCATTTCCACAAAGTTGGTTTGTCGATAAAATAATGAGGGACGTGCGATTCGGCATAAGTTACCGATAAAAGTCTACTAGTCTTCAGAATGCGAGCAACAGCTTAACTAGGTTGGCTCTAGGTTAATGAGAATTTTCGCCTCGTTGCTTTGCAGAGAGAATGCTTGGAGCATCAATGGTATCACCGACAAACTTCAGGCAGTCAGTTACTACTTGACGCTTCCGAAAATCTACAATAGTGCCATATTGTTGTGGTTAATGATAAACAAGCCTAAATGCTAGAAACGGGATGCTCTGTCTGGACTTGCGACCGAGTAGTCATGATAGCCGTTTTTGAATTTCGTCGGCAGTCATGGGGACCTGAGCGTATATTATAGTAACGTCAAGTTTTGAAAAAAACAGTTGTACCCTTTATGGTAGCTGTCAAGCTGTGAATGTGTGGGAGAATTTAACGATCTTTAGCCTATCTCAAGTTTTCAGGAGGTAGTCAGCGACTTTTCGGAATACAAGTGGTCCGGTATTCATGATGTAATATGTAGCATTGCCGAGTACACAAAGTACTTTTTTAACTGAGTTTAGCACTGTTCACAGACGTGGGAAATAACTATTGGAAGGATGGATTGATTATGGATTTGATCGCGACTGGTCATAACCTACTATCAGGTTAAGCTTCACAAACGGATACGTTATTATTTCTGTCCACTAAACTCTGCTTGTTCTTGTTGATGAGTAGTTTACGGTGTTGTAGCAGATCTACATCAATGACTGGCATAGAAACATCTGTAACAAGCAATATCTAGTGAATGGGCTTGTGAATACCCATGTTTAGGTAAATATATCTACTGTACGTGGCAATTGGATTTCTATTAGCCACCTTCAAGTTGAAGACCTGGTCTTGTGGAAGCCCATCGGTAGTCGTGTAAAGAACGCTTATGTCTTTGCCAAAGCCAACGAAATAGAGAACTTTCATTATCGCGTCAATGACGCATAACAAATGGCTAAGCCCTCCGTCAACGATTACAGGAGTCATGAATAAAGGAGTTCGGAGATATATTTTGAAGGTGATTGATGCATCGAGATGTATATTTGTGGTGGCATTGAGCCCTAATCACAATCCTCAAGGCTGAACACGAGACAACTGGGGACACAGATACTCAACATTTAATGCGGAGAAAAACCAACAGTGGAGAAGGCGGGCAGGATTAATACGACCAATCGGATGGCAAGACAGCCTTGCAGGCGTGGTCATTCTGTATGACTTGTTTTTATTCATATTAAATATATTGTTCTGTCTCTAGCTTAAATATGTTCTCTGTTTTATAATGGTGATTGTTACGATACGATGAGTCAGCGTAAACAATGATGTGACTTCTACGTAAGATCTTATAAATCTTACATCATTACAAATCTTCAATTTTGGGAATAGGTCTATTATTTGAGCAGTACTAATAATCATACACATACTCAAGGATTACTAATTATTGCAACGAATGCATAGCTCGTTGTGCCCGACGACTATGTGGTACTGATGACTGACTAAACACATTCACCTAGGGTGTTTCCAGTGGAACCACTGAGGTCGTCATCCTTGTGAAAGACTTACAGAACCGCTTGTCTTAGGGATTTATTTGCCGCTACACATCCGCCCTGACTATCTAGAAGAAACGTAACCTCTGAGTACTTCAAAAACTGTTAGCGGACTAAATAACATGTTGCCCGTCTAAGCGAGATTAACTCCTGGCAATATCTCCCCAAGTGATTCATGAAAACGACTTTGGATCATTATGAGAAGTTGTAGATAATCGAAGTAATATTTGTATCGCGGTGGTTGAAATAGATCTCTCAGGTACTGGCGAATCTTAGAATGTAAGTTAATTGCTCAAGAACTGCTTCAAGAATCGTGCCGCAGTTGATCTTGTTCCTCGTGAAGTTGAAAACGAAATATCTAGTAATAAACTCAGTCATGATATGAGAACTCAATTCAAAGGATGCATACAATATTTGAGTCAAGGACCTCCTAGAATGTCTAACTTAGCAACATTCGCTCAATCAAATATAGTTACGATAAAATCAGGGTCTTCATGACTGATTATAAACTCATCCAAAAAACTCACTCATTACGTCTACATGTATTGAATATGGCTTACTGAAGTCCCAAAAATCTGGATATTTTGTTTCCAAAAGTTATTGGAATAGCTCTGAAATCAATTTGTCCTATGTTTGTTTATTATTCGACTATGACGTAAATCAGTGTAATGACATGGAGGATTACGTATGAAAACCAATTTCCTGTTTCTCCTCAGTTGTAAAAATCATAGAGAATCATTACTGAATTTCTTTGCAGATAATTTACCGAAAACCTTGGCCGTTCTGGTCCTCAGCACACCTTAAATAATATGACATTGTTCTGTCTATTGACTGTTATAACTAGATATTATTTTTGGCCACATTCTTCACTTAAAAGTATCCAAGACATTTTCATGTTTTGGTCGTAGATTACTATTTCAGCTATTTTGTCGTAATAATTTTTTGACTAGCGAAACAAAAATTAAGCTACTGAATAACCAAGAATAATTTCCTACTACCTTAAAACAGGCCTCAAAGAAATATTAGTTCTGTATCCAACCAGCGGATTCTGAAAGTTTCAGGTTTGAAGCGAATCAATTCGATGTTTGCGTTACATCGGGTGATACTTATTCTGGTTTTCTTATGCATCAGTTTGGATCCTTTGGATTTCAGTAAAATTACTGAACAAATTTACAATTATGTACCTTTGTCATATGCATCATTTTGTACTCGAAAACTTAACCTTACAGGACAGGTTGGTTGTTCCAGTGATATCAACGGAAATTCGGGTGTTGCTTTGTTTATGAATGAGTCACAAGACATTATTCAGACACTTAGTTCAGATATTTCAACTTCATTTGTGGTGGTTGTAAATGTTGGGCAGTTTGTTAACACTTCACTTATGCGATATTTCCGTTCAACAACAAATATTAAAGGTCTTATTGTGTTTTCTAACGAGGAAGAAAATTACGACAGCTATGCATTTTCCGAATCATCCAAGTGCCCGAACAGTGATTACAGCGCTTATAACTTTACTGATCAATGTGATTTGGATGCACAATGGAACCCAGCTGGGACAGAATATTCATATATCAGTTGGCCGTTTCCGGTTGTTTTGGTTGCTGATGTGAACAACACCATTTGGGTATTTCGAGATTTAATTTCTGACTTGTTTCTAGACTTCCATGTACGAATGTTTTTTAATGTTGAACCGAGAACCTGCTGATGATACGCGGTGCTTGATTGAAATAAATAACCCTATGTCAGCTGTTGGGTCGTCTGAGACTTGCTTTCGTCGTCAGTACCTCATGTCGCTGCATATTTCTGAAGTATGTTTTTTCCGACGAACCGTCACTTATGTAATTTGCATTAACTTTATGTCAGTCTTGAGATAGTATACTTTCGAGATTGAGGTACATAGGACTTTGTTTCTGTCGATAGAGGCCGCTAAAACACTGCTGGTAATCTTAGTAAGGGTATTCAACTTTTTTTTAAAAATTCGACAAATGTACATGCTATCGAATTTGGTGAATTTGGAGACATTTCATACATTGAACCGTATAAACATTGAAATTATTATTGTATCATTTTCCCATTCTGTATTTTTATATTTCTATAAAAAATGCGAATAGTAGTTACAGAATATTTATTTCAAGTAATTCTTGTAGGCATACCAGTAAAAAAAATATACAAATTGCTAGACGAAAAATACTTCACCTGTCTGCGGCTAGTCTGCTTTTGGGACAACTTGTATGTTCATTTGAAACGTTTCTCATCTGAGTTACATTATTGTCTGAGGTAATATAAGCATTCTTCAGTCTTCAGCAGTAAGAATAGTAGGTCTTTTGACCTTTGTTAATTCTTGCAGCTTGTTTTTAAGTGGAGATCCAGCTGCTTGGAAGTGTTCAATGATGGAGTCGATACCACTTATTTGGGTAGGGCTCTCCAGTCATTGACCACTCGGTGAGAAAACCGGAATCATGCCCCGAGTTTATTTGATCGCGGTTTTTGAACCCTCTCTCAGCGGTCTCACATATGATTAGTTTCAATGGTGGAAAAGGATAAAGCACGTTGACATCCAAATCATTATTTAAGATCCAGAGTGCCAATATAAGGTCACCTCGCGTTTTACGGTAAGATAAAGCGAAAAGGTGTGAAATTTTGGTCTCTCATCATAGGAGAATCAGGAAACCTCGTTGACAACTTAATTTTTACACTTTAAAAATGGTCAAGTGTGGTAGCATCCTTGATAAAACATGGACTAGCTGCTTGGATCCATTATTGCAAGTGGACTATAAAGTCTGAAATACGTCTTCATCAAGGCGTTCGAACGCTCAGCGAAGTGACCATAGCACTCGGAAAACTTTGGCACTTTCTTCATTGCAAGACATAGTTGTTTTTAAGTCGCAACCCACTATTACGCATAGGTCTTTTGTTCCTGTACGAGTTGAAGCGGTTGAGTATTACTGCGTCTATTTTCCATTTGACAGATAGTTCCCATTTAAACATATTAAATTCGTGTTTTAATTTTAATATTTTCCATTTGGATATCGTTTATAACCAATCTACATCTTTGGGGCCATCTAACTAATTCGTCCAAATCAGCTTGACAATAAAGATGATCAGCCTCGCTACTTGTTGTTTTCCAAACTTTAATATTATTTGCAAACAACAATATCGACAGGTCGGTCGTTGAACGCCATATTTCTCTTCCCTTACTAAATATATAGGTCTGTCGGTAACATCCAACCTTTGTGGAGTTGAGTTTAGGAAAGTGACATATTATGTAACGCCTTGAGTGATTCCGAAGTAAAATGTGAAAGAGATGTCGTGTACATAAGTTGTGTTAGTCTTATTCTATTTTTGGTAGTGTGCTTTCCTGACTAAAACCTTTTTGGTGCACCTGGTCAGTATTGAAATATGTCATGGATTAGTGAAGTCGATGGACCACAGACAATGTGAGATGGAGAGTAAAGTGAAAATAATATTAACAATCTTAAGGAAAAACCAAACATCGGAAATGTAGCTCAAAAACAATAGAATCTTAGAACCGAAAGTAAGAAACAACACCCGAATCACCTAACCATAGTCGCGTAATTAATTAACGGTTCATATTTTACCATTCCTGGACTTCGTATCATGAAATCAATAAGGCACTCTGGCACTTAGTATAATTCAGAAAAACCTAAAGAGTTATTTATTATTTATATTATATTTTTGGTCTTGCGAAGTGCCTGTAAAATTTTTCCTTTAACTGTTGATATTCCAGAGTTCGGAGATTTTCTGTGATGAATTGACAGGGCTAAACATTGTTTTATCAGTAACTGATTCGAAAAATCACTCAAGGGGTAATAACATTAGCAATTATGCTCGGTCTGAGAATTCTTCAGTGTTTGTTCTTACTCGGATGGATTCTCGAAGTATTTTCGAACGCAGTGGGTTTTCAAGCCAAGGTGTCCTTCCTAGTATAGCTGTTTTGATTTCTGTTGCCGTACATTTAATGGGACAGAAAACCTTGAAAGTCAGTTTATAATGTTGTTTCAATGAAAGTATGGCATTTTTGACTTCTTTATTTATGTTGGTATTTTGTTGCTGATTCTTTTTATTTAGGTTCACCGTGTTTCGAATTGGGTTTTCCACTTAAGACCACGTAAAAAGTAATTAGTTTTAGCTTAATACAGTACTGCGAAGTAATGGGGTAGTAGTTAAACTATTTGAATTTCGGATCAATCGATAAGGTTGTGAATCTTCATCGACTGAGATGTTTGGGCCACGTGTTACGTATACCCGAACACTGATTACCACGACGCAGAATGCTGATTAGTGTTGTGGATGGTTGGAAAAAAGTTAGAGGTGGCCAAATCGAAACATTACATCAGTGCTTGGAGTCACTAACTTCTAGTCTGAGCCATGTTAGTAGATGCAGACTACTTGGTTGAGGTCCGCATGACTATTGTAACCAATGGTTGTAAACTCTGGGTGACATGGCTCAGAATCGATCACAATTGCGTAGGTGTATACATTCTCTGTCTTCCATTAAACTATGAGATTAAAATCGCTTCATATCTTACTTCCTACCAATTAATTCTTTCATCTTTTACTATGTCGTTATATGCAATCTTTCTTTTGCATATTGCCACTATTGAATTAACTATTTCCATGGATTCGGTGTTCGTCTTGCTGTGCTAATGAGGTATGGCATCTTGGACCGATTCGTATATGTGCCTGGTCCTACGTTGTAGCTGACTGACTGACGACTTTTGATCAGTGTTACACGTCTAGGTATTTCTTTATCTCTTTTGTTTCTGATATCAGGTCACATTTTCTAGCTCGTGCCATAAATATTGGTCTAAGCTGATAGCACAAACTTGCAATTAATTACTCGATTAAACTGACATTCGAGGAATAATGAGGTGTTAATCTTTTTGTGCTGGACCATGAATTTCATTTGGTTTTCAATGTTCTTCCTCATTTTCCCTACTTCATAGACGTTTGTGGATTTCTCACTTCTTTAGTTGTAATAGTTGCTTCTTATCCCAAAAGGTAAAAGTTGTGTATGATTAGAGACAGTATGATAAAGAATTCCTTTTCCAAATATTATGGATAGACAAATGGAAATTTTTACTAGTAGTGTTTTTAGCTACTTCCGTAAATCGATTAGGTATTGTTTTTGAGTGTGTAAAAATTTTGTTTTCTAGAGCCTGAAACAACATTATACGTAGCTCTCATTCTTACTTTGGAGAATCAACTTCTCTCTTTCCAACGTATTATCCTCTCTAAAGTGACTTTTGAGTATTTGCTTTTTGATTACCAGTAGTCAAGTCAACAGAAGTAAAGTTGATTACAATCCATAACCCACTTGTCAATTTTTACATGTTAAATTACTGTGCATCAAAATCCCTATAATTTATTAGATTCTTTGAATATTATAGTTATTCTATTCACTTTTATCTTTTGGTCACCTTTATTATTCATCGTCATTTACATGAATACATCACTACTTAATCGGTATTAATCTTATTTATCTTAAACATACCAGTGTAAAGCCATAATGAGAAACTAATTATAAAGAAATATTTTTTATGTCTATAGGTAGACATGTGCTTAAAAACATTCGATGGCGGCTCAAAATCAGTTAAAGTGGTACATATATATGTTCCTCACGACGTTTAGGTATTAATCAACCCACTTATATTGTTCTTGTAGGTACCTGAAATTCTGTCAGTTTTTTTTCTTTTATTGTCATTTAAAAGTATCGTAATTTGTTGCATTGAGGTGTTGATTAATTCAAATGGATGAAATTAATAACTCAAGTTTAATACGCATTTCCTTCTTACTGCTAAAACTATGTTTTTGAATCAAATGACGAAACAAGCTTTGTTAGTTTAAAACAATTAGTCCCTTTGATAAATTTCGATAATGCAATGAGAAGACGTAGTTTATCAGAATTATGTGATATATTTGCGCAATACATTTCGAACAATCTGGTCACACATATACTTGTTAAGAACATTTATATATGAAAAATTAAAAGGTCAACTAGACAGGTTAAGGGTAAGTCATAACAAAGGAAAAAATATTAAAGTACACAAAAACAAATGTGATTACCACTCTGGATAGTAAATCAGTACTACCAGGGTAGGTTAAGTGTAAGTACAAATTGTTTTTGAACACATAAAGGGGGTTTCAATTTTCGTATAGCCAAGGCTTCAATAAACCTTAGTATACGTCCTTGAAGGCTTTTGTACAACACAACAAATGCTGATTTGATATCAACCTTATGACCCGTCTCAATCAAATGTTTCGCAATGGATGATGATGTCTGTCTATCCTGTGATCTTATTTCACCATTGGAATTCATCTGATTTTGCAACCAATTTGGTATATGTTCACCCACCCTTAATTGCAAATCACGGTTGCTCCTCCCTACGTACGTGTTTCCACACATACATGTAAATTTATAGACACAATGGGATGTGACACAATCGTTTTCATGCTGTTTGGGCTTTTGGTGAAACATAGACCTTGTCTTTTCGATGATGACAAGTTGGGCTGCATAAAATGTCCGGTTGATAGCTAATTTAAGTCTCTGTTTCAACATGAGACTATTTATGTCACCTCTGAATGGTAGCGTAATATAAACTCGCTTTTTGGGTGCCAGAAGCGTCATAGGTCTAGTCATATTGCAACCCTTCCAGCGGTTTATGAACTTCAAAGGGTAACCATTATTGATTAACGCATCAGTCAAGAGCTTCATCTCTACTTCAATAGTATCACTAGTACAAATACGATTGATCCTATTGAATAAGCTCTTTATTAAACCACGTTTATAATGAATAGGGCAGTGACTATGAAAATTAAGATATTGTCCTGTCCATGTTGGTTTTCTATATATAGCACGTTTGATGGAACCATCATCTCTCCTAGTAATCAGGATGTCAAGAAAAGGAAGTTGGTTGTTCTTCTCTTCTTCACATGTAAGAGAAATGTGGTTTTGACTACTATTGAATTCTTCTAACAAGTGGCTTATGTCTTCAATTTTATCACCTATGATTATTATGTCGTCTACATATCGTTTATACAGACCCATCTTTCGAATTGAGTCTCCAACTAAATTTTCCACATATCCCATGAACACATCAGCTAGCAATGGTCCTAGAGGGCTGCCCATAGCTACACCATCTATTTGTCTGAAGTGTTCACCTTCAAATGTGAATTTTACATTATCTGTACATAATAATAATAAATCTTTAAGAGTTTTAACAGGAAAAGGCAGTGGAAGGTTTTTCGAAGAAATAAAGTCACACAAAATATCAATGGTTTTCCTAAGAGGTACATTTGTAAATAAAGTGTTTATATCAAAGGAGCACATTGTCTTTGTCTTTATATTTATATCCTTTAAGTAATTAATTAATTCGAATGAGTCAGTCAAAGAATACTTACAATATTGATTTCTGATAGGGTTTAATAATTTTGTAAGCCATTTTGCCAGGTTGTGTGTAGGTGACCGACACATAGATAGAATTGGACGTAGGGGGTATTAGGCTTATGAATTTTCGGTAATCCATATAAATTAGGATATGCCGAACCCATAGGTTTTAATAAATTAAACTCATCTTTGTTAATAGCATTCATGTTTAACAATTTCACAAGATTCGAGTTCACTTTCTTTTCTAATTTACGTAATCCATCAAAGTCAACATCAGCCAAAAATTTGCTTTTATCACTGAGAATGGATTCCATTTTATTTTTGTAATCTGACTTATTCATAATAACAACACCAGATCCTTTATCGGGTTTAAGTATAATAATATCGGCATTATTTCGCAATTCTTTTAATGATTTGAAATGCTGAGAAGTTAATATGCTTCTCTGCTTTGGTCCAGAAGAATGAAAATGATGCGCTATATCCACTAGTTTGGCTTTAAACCAACTTTGATTCTCTAAGGACGAAGGGGTTAAAGTACTCAACTGATCATAGAGGTTTTCAAATTGGGCATTGTTAGTTTAAGTAGTTTTATAGGAAATACCTTTGTCGATATTTATGATGTGTTTAGTCTTTACCAGTTTCAACGCTGTGTTTTGGAACTTAAGTTTCTTCTATTATGATCTGGATGGTCTAAGTCTTCATAGTTTAGTAGGTAAATGTTGATAGTTGTTTATGAATATCATCAAAGCGAAATTTTGAACTCAAACTGAAATCTAGGATTCGAATTCTACCCAAATGCCCTGGTACGGCCGAGAGTAGGGAGAGTCCGCTCTCCCTCTCGAAATACTCTCACACGGCCACGCGTATACAACCTCTGCCAGGGAAGTTCTACTCATTGCCTTCTCGTGGCGGGGGTGTTGTTTACGAAACTGAGAGGACGAAAAGCGAATGTCCGGCGCTTTAACCGGATCCCAAACCAATGGTGCACATGGGCTCCAGTATCCTGCGGGAACAAATGACGTATGAACCAATCGTTGGTCACCGGCTACCATGGGACTGCATCTCCTTACAATGCTCCACTGCCTTGTGGGTTAGACCTTTAGGTCAAAGGCTCGGGGTGTGGCCCCCTAAGATAACCACCTGCTTCGGTCTGGGCACCCGGGCAGTATCACAGCCCACACACAAATATGATGAACTGCCTATAATTATGGAAACTATTTTACTTGCTTCAACTAACAATCAAATGATTATTATTATTGTTATTTACCACATTATTCACCCTCTTTTATACTTATACAGCGGCTCGTCTTTGGTGGAAATTCGAATGTATCTAAACGTTCTCGAGTCACTGTCCGGTTGGAAATTGTATGTTACCACTGAATATGAGTACTGAAGCAGTTTTCTGAAACCACGTACACGAGTCAAACTGGCTGCCTTCAACGTTCGCACACTTATGCAGGTCGGACAACAGATAGGGCTGGCTATGTCTTTGGAAAGCCTTAATATCGACGTGTGTTGTCTATCCGAGACCCGTATTCAAGACTCTGGCGAAGTACTACAAATTCGCTCTTCATCTGTCGCTTCGAAAAGCTTGTTTTACGTGCGCTTATCCGGGGACCCTGTGGCATCTTCGTCTGGTCTTGCTGGCGTTGGTGCCGCACTAAGCGCTAGAGCTGAGGCAGCACTAATCGATTAGATCCCCATTAACAGTCGGTTATGTGCTGTTAGATTAGAAAGCTCCATCAAAGTGAGAAGAAATCGGCGTGAGAAACGATGTCTTTTCGTCATCTCCGCCTATGCTCCGACAGATTGCAGCCCGGATGCAATCAAG